CATACAAACACTGTTGTTTTTAAATTTCTTGGTGAAAATGCTTATCCTTACACAGAACATTTAGTTCCATCTTTTCATGACATTTCTATTTCCGAGTAATACCGTCTGCAATGCTATTTTAGGAATTTTACGAAATTTTGTGATTTTGTTCGTTATTGATTTCAATCGATTTAGGAGTTTTTTAACATCTGCAAGAACTCTCTAACGTTAACGTTTGCTGGAGTTGGAATGTGTTTTTCGATAGCTATTTGTTAAATGACTGTTTTGTCTAGTTAATTGTTATACAATGAAAAGTTGCAATTCGCAGCACTATCCTGTCAAAATGTCTCAACTATGACACGTTTAAGTTGATTGTCCACAGAATTTTAACAAACTGCAACTCTGATTCCTGCTAAATGTCTATAATGTTAGAAAAGATTAATGGCCAAATGTACGAGATTGTCTTAACAATCTTGTTTTCGTTGCGCGCACTTCCACAACTCAACAGTCCGCTGATGTTCTCAGTTATTACTTCAGCAGATTAGCACCTTTTTCTCCATGTCTAGTGGGAACAACTGACCATGCTACCTATGAGTATGTAGCCGTGTTCCACGCATAGCACAGCTTCCAATTACCTGTTCTTATCCGCTGTAATGAAAGCGTGCCCACATCGCGAAGCTCATTCCCAGCTGTATTAGCCACAGTTAGGAGGTGAGGCTCTGCAGATGGCGACTATAACCACCCGACCCGACCAAGCACAATGACCATAATATGCAAATCCTGGATTATCTCACCACAAAGATATATGGTCGACTATAGCAAACGCGCCTAGTGAGGCTGATACAATCTCATGAAAGTCTGTGTACAGAAGTCATACATCTATTGATGAATGGTCGTGCATCGTTTTTTCATTGTCATCATTGCAAACTCCACTGAAGTTCCGTTACGTTAGCGCTAATTCCGTTCCCGTCCACCATCTTTTCCTATCTTACGACTTCGCAAAGTTTTTCTTCTCACATTATTCAACATAATGTCGGGGTTTACCGGTTATATGAAACGATCCCGAACTGTATGTTATATAAAAGCACCTCGTATAAAAGCATATAAGTGTTGATACTTCTTAGTACTTTTCCATTTGAACATATATCATATGTCTTCGTTATACATTGAAAAATGATTAATTTCTTATTCCATACAATACTATGATGGCCTGACTTCTGATAAATTTGCATCTGAGGCAAGTTGTAACGATTTCATTTAAAATACCATATGTATATAATCTCATTATTAAAGCTTCTCCGTCAAAATTCATGATCATCCTCACTTATTTTTAGAGCTTCAAGCTTCCGCTCTTTTCCATTCAAGTGTTCTTGGTGTTCGCCGTCGTTTGTTCAATTCATGCTTTGTTTGTATTTCGGGTAACAGCTTTAGAAGTTTCCCGAATTTCGGGTTTCAGCATAGGGTTTTTCTTTGCCTCTCCCACCAAACATAGAATAAAAAGGAAAGTCTGGGATAATAATAAAAGCGGAAGGTTTCAAGATAATTCAAAAATTCCAAAGTAGTTGCTAAAGGAAGGTAATGACTTTTCTATTTATCTCAATAACGTATTTTCATTAATAGAAAGTCACAGCATTTTATAAGGGATTCCAAACCCTTGTCTTCGCTGCATCGTCAAAGTTGGCATCATGTGATTCGAATCCTCTCTAAAAATTAGTTCATTCCATTGCATTTTAGGTCTCTCCCTCATTATTCATCCTCATTACACGCAAACACAATAAAACTTTGTAAGGAAATCTCGCTGACCATGTGGCTGTGCGCGAGCACTGACGCGCGAGAAGAATTTCCAGTACGAGCCAGGGTTTCCTTCTTAACTGGTTAATTGTTCCACTTCTTTGCGCGAGATTGCCCGCGCGCCTCCCGTTTTGCTAAGATTAGCGTCTATCCTTTGCATAACCAGATTTTGACTCTCCCTTTATTCCCCACGTATGAAAGTCAGCTTTGAATCTATGAAGAGGCGATCAAAGTGCCATGATGATAGTGATGAACGG